GACATGACCCACACAGTCTTCGATATTGGACAGCTCTGTACAAGAATAATCCAAATCTTAAGACAATCTGTCCATACTTATCAAGTTTAACCTAGAAAATGACCCTAACAGGTCTAGTTTTTTCATTTCATTTGCCCGCTTTTCGCACTACTCGGTAAGGTTGCAGCTTGCAAGTTGTTTATGGTAGTAGCAACCATGATTGCAATCAAAAGCAAAATACATAGCCTCTGAGATAAATATGTACCCTGCCTCTAAATTAAATTTTCAAGGATGATCACTTAAAAAGAACCAAACCCGCACTTGGTTTTATTCATTTCACATTTGTGTAAACTTATAGAAAATTGGTTAAGTTGTTGGATAGTGAAAATAAAAATACTTTAACGTGTTATCTGAACATGACGAGGAAGTACAAGCAGCGTTACCAACATTGATACAACGCACAAGTCGCCACAAGATGATACGATCCAATTGTATTGGCGCCAAGCGCCATCCAAACCTACAAATACGTGTATATTATGACACTCGGTGTTTCCGTCTGTTTATTTGGTTACAGTGGAGCTGTTCGATTGTGACAAGCGCTTGGGCTTGCATGCTGTGTCATCGGCGCGATGACGGAGGTACGTGACGAGCTGGGGGGGGAGCCCGCCGACGAAAATATTGTGTCTACATTAACTCCAAGATGGAATCATTTTGCACCGACCTCATATTTCCTTTCGGGATTCCAGCTAACGGCATTATTTCAGTGTTCGTCGGTGAATTTTCCGCTTGTGTACCTACGAGAAGGCCATGAGTGGACGGAAAGCGCTGATAATGTCAGTAACAGAAACTGGTTGTGCTCTGTCGACCGTACCAGGGTAAGCCCACGTGTGTGCCTGTGCCCCATGTTTTGCCAAACGAAGGCGAAAGTGATTTGGAAGAGTCGCAAGAAGACACTGTTCTCTCGCAAGACATCATGGAAGCTGTATGTAAGGAAGGAAAGTCCACCAGTGACAGGATGGTAATCAGTGGGGCTCACTTGAAACTGCCGAGCACTGAGCTTGGCCTGCCCAACATTGAGCCTGACGAAAACGACCGTTCTTCTGCAGTGGATTTAGAAGAGTTCACCGTTGCTCTCCGGTTCCGAGTGTAGACGATGCTGAGTGTCAGGGTCCCCAGTTGACCCAGAGCTGCCGCATATTATTGACCGTTCTGCGCCGGCTTTTAACTTATTTTCGTCTTCTGAAGAGTCCGAAGACGAGTCGCCTTGCGTTAAGAAGCGGAGAAATTTCCTCAGAAGAGCTGCAGCAGTACCGAGCTCTGCGAAAATTGGTAACATCTACTTTGGAATGAATAGCATGCTGTTCTTTTTGAATCCAAAACATTGTTTTCTTTTGTCATTATGGTGCAGTACGTCTTGCCGAGGCAAGCAGTGAAGGGATTAATTGAGCTGATCTAACAAAGTATGTTCCTAATGATCTAGCAGAAAGCTGTAAAAATATTAAAAACTATTTGAGCTTTTTTTTGTTCACTTACTTCCCTTTTTAAAGAAGAGCTTTATTTTCTTCAGTTAAAAATCGCATAACAACTTCAAGTAGCCTTTTCGCTACCTTTGGTGTCTGACTTTTGTAAAAGCACATAACTTGGTGTTCATTCAAGCCAAAGTACATAAAAAATTCAAGCCACCCCCCCCCCCCCCCTTCCACATTGCTAATTTTCCACATAATGCATGTATTTGTAGTATTGCTGGCACTTGAACCAGATGACAGTGTGTGTCCAAGGAGTGTGTAATGTACTTCTTAACTGTTCCCTACCTTGATATTCGAATTAGGTGTAGGTATATATTCTGGTGACACCAAGCAATACTTGATGTCACAGAGTGCTGGTGTTTATTTATGTCCCTGCATAACTAGGTTTTTAAACTGTGCCACACATAAACTTTTATGCACCCAGTTTCTCTGCTGGAACATTACGGGAAGCATGAAACGGAACTGGCAGTAAAAAGCTCATATGGCTGTTGATCCAAATTTGCAGTGATTCACCACCCATTTGAAGTGTAAACTGCATTTCCTGTCGATACCCTTTTACACACCAAAGTTCTAATGATGTTGCATATATGAAGGTGTAGAACTCTACTGATACAACGGAGTACTGATGCACACTTTTGGACATGTGTAAACTTTTTGATGCAGTTCTCATAAGTAAAAAAGTTGCATTTTTATGAAGGCCAGCTAGAAAGTTTCTGGCCCAATCTCGAAGGAATCGCTTCTTAGGTATAAAACTGTTCCAACCTAAAGCACCCCTGAAATGGTGTTTTGAAGTTTTGTCAGCATTTAGGCGGAAGAATCATCAAGCCACTCGCACAACAAATTTAGCGACACGTCGTGTACCAATGCCGCTATGACAATTATATCATGCCCTCACCGCTGCTGTGTCTCCTCAACCCATGAGACACGCTGGAATCACTGGTGATCGCAGAGCTCTCATAAGCATACTCGACAATTTGAGCTTCGCCAAGTCATGACCTCCGAGATTGCACGCTGACGTGTTGCACGCCATCTCGTAGCCCATCGCCCAGTGTGCCATGCAGCACGCACGCCGTCTAGCAACAGAGATGAAGATTGCAGAGTGGTTGATATCTGCTCTGACAGGGGCTGTCACCCTACCAACTGATGTTACTTAGGCACATTCCACAGCCAACCAGATCAGCAGCCTGGCTGATGCTGGGTTAATAGGCGGTTTAAAATGCATTTGGCTGAGTCACAGTGATCTGCAGCGATTTGCAGCTTTAAAGCATCCTAATGAATTTCACAGTTTGCACAGAGTGCTCAAATCTGTCTATAAGTGACCCTTAGGATTCGGGCTGCTGGCCAGATGCATTTATACAAAATTCTCAAAACCATTTCAGGGTCCCTTTAACTAGTAAGTAGGGGGTCGCTTTATAAAATCTGCAGCACAATGCTGATTGCGCATTGATTTGCTTTTAGAGCAAAAGCTGTTGTGCGATCACAAGTCATTTTTAGTGCTGTAGTTGCCCGCTGCCGCTGGTAACCACAACCACTATCGCGTGAAATAAGAAGAAAAGAAAAACTAAATAATTAAAGAAATGTCACGGACAGAGTGGGATTCCAACTAAGGTCCTTAGTGTGCCGACCAAGTATTCTACCTAAAAAACTCATTCTTAAATTTGCAACAGTACCATACTTGAAAGTAATTTCTGCCATGTCAGGCCAGAAACTTTCTATTTGACCCTTTTAGTACCCAGGCTGGACGACTAATTATATAAATTATTAAAGGCACTGGCAGATCCAGCGACTCACTTTAAGGGGGGCGTGTGCCTGAAATTACCTTAGAAGGGGGTGCGTTCATGACTTTTTTGTTTTTACTAGGGGAAGATCCCTTTTGTAGCATAAATACTGTTCATGTGTGCTCACAGTGGTTTCACTCATTCGTAATAACTGGTAAAAGGATGTGCACAACGGGCACCAGAGTAGGGCGAGGGGGTGCTGACACAGACTTCAGGAAGAGGAGGGGGGGGGGAATCGTCCCAACCTCTACCCCTCTGGATCTGCCACTGATTAAAGGGACACTAAAGAGAAACATTGACTTGGTTTAGACTGATACATAGCACTTTGAACACTATAATGCCATAAGTTTTGCTATCATGAGTTCACGATTAGTGCAGGAAATCGAGGTTGAAGTTTCATTTTAAAATTTTGCTCTCGAATCTCTGCTCGTGCTGTCGAAAATTTCAAAATGTGTTCGTCGTATTTGCACAACATTGGCTTGACGAAATTTTCTGATACTTCGTATGCTAGGCCTATGGCAACCACAAATGACAATGTACTTCAATAATAGCGAAAGTTGGGCAAGTTGGTGGTTCATGCTAGGGATGTAAAAACAGCGCAAAAAATATGAACAAGGACAAAAGAAGAGACGACACCGCACCGTCAGCGCGGTGTCGTCTCTTCTTTCATCCTTGTCTATATTTTTTGCGCTGTTTTTACATCCAAAGCAAGACAATGTACTTCATTTTAATCGATTGGAAGCTTTGTAGGGCTCTATAGACCCCTTCAAAATTTACGACGTCATGGTGTTTGGTGCGGGGATCTCGAGATGGCATCTCCACAAGCATAACCTTCTCGCCCATTTTTCTCACTTACCAAGCATTGTCTCGCAGAAGAGTAGGGTGTTTAGGACTGTGAAATAGTACTTTACAAATGCACGAAAAATCTTTTTTTTCGGTGTCCCTTTAAAATCAGTTTCGAAATGCCAGACCTGGCATCACCGATATTATCGTGATCTTGGGATACAGAATAGAATTTGCTGATGTGTAGCAGTATGTAGATTATTTTTCCTAGAAAAAGTAAATGCATTAGATTGTTCTCTATGTTGCTTGTGTGCTTTTTGTTTTTTGTGAGAGCTGCACCAACTGCTGACTTGGTATGGAGTCAATCTATCATGACACAATACCAAAATTGTAGCTTGTTTCTAGAAACGATAATTGTGTTCCATTATTTACGGTGCATGGACAGTTGCCATGTTTTTTTTTAGCATTGATATTTAGAGGGTTGGGGTCATAACTGAACACAAAACTGAGTTAAAAATGAGGGTCAAGCACTTCTATTTTGCTGCTTTTTATTGTTATTACGATATGTCCCTTGAAGTGAATCATTAAATTTAGAGAATTAGCGAGTCTTGATAATTATATACATAGGCATTGCATATAGTTGTGCAAGTATTGTCCACCTCTTACTGATAGCCAATCCAAACAAACTGAACTGTACAAATGTGCTCAAAGTGATTAAAAATGTTCAATCTCTGAGAAAAACACTGGTGCTTGTACACAAACTGCCTGTCCAGTATGGCACAGCGTGTTTTGTTCTCTCTCTCTCTTTTTGTTGGAAAGTTCTTGTTTTAAGCAAGAACCAAAAAACTAAGTAACTAGAATAATTGGTTGGTAGTGCAGCTTCTGAAATCTCACGTTGTATATGTGTTTTCTTTACACCGTCATGCAGCTTCCATTGACGAGCCAGTGAGTGGCGACGACGTGGACGAGTTTCTTTGCGGCATCTGTAAGAGGAGCTTTAGAACGCGGAAATCTTGTCAGTACCATGTATGGAGCCATCTTAATCCGGCAGACAGTTCCAAGCGTTTCAAGTGTCCCGCATGCATCATGGCTTTCAGCACCAGCTGGGCACAGAAGTACCATTACAAGATGAAGCATGTCGGGGCCCGACACATGTGCTCACAGTGCGATGCAACTTTTGAAAGTGATGTAGCGCTTTCTCTTCACCATCGTCGTACACACACTAGCTGTGCTAAGATTCACACATGTGAGTACTGCCTGCATATGTTCCAGCGACAATATGCTTACAGCATACATGTGAGTAAGACGCATGGAGACGGTACGTTTGAGATGCTAAGCCGCACTCCTGGACTCGAGCTTCGCTGTTCCCATTGTTCCAGCTTCACCACATCATCGGACGTGGTGCTCACTCGACACCTACAAAGCACGCACCCCGAGGCCAAGACGTTTCGTTGCACCATGTGCTCGCTCCTGTTTCAGGTACGCCTAGCTTGTTCAATGGAGAAAGTGCTGCTAATTATGAGAATAATGAAAGACTGCAGAAGTGTGTGAATAGCAGCAGTTTTTTTTGTTTTATACCCAATTGCGCACGAAGAAATACCACCAGAAACTAATCAAACAAAAATATTTTTCTAAAGTACAGTTTTTAAATTGCCTCTAGCTGTTGTAATCAAGCACTTTTCAGATTCTGGTATAAATATTACGAAGTCTGTTTTATTGTACTGCACATTGCTAAGATCATTGCCACATGCTAATAAATGTGCAATGGCAGAATAAGGTCAAATAAGCACATTGTAAATGCTGGCATGTGCTTATCAGACTTTATGAAATTGTTGCTGCCTAGCTAACTATATTACCTTCGCAACCAAACCAGAAAACCTTGCTACAGTGGCAAAACAAAAAGAGACATACATTTGATGTAGTATAAATGGTTGTACATATAGTGCCACTATTAAATCGTGTATGTTCACGTGAAACATATTAACATTTGATCCGACTTGATGGCATAGATACCATGTTTACAAATACTACTCTAGCATCATACATTAAACGCTAACTTTAAGGATTGTCATTTTAATCAATATTTCAGAGTAACGAACTTATGGGAAATCCCCAGTGGGTTTCCTCTGCATTCTATGCAAAAATCTTGCAGTTAAATAAACTTTTGAAAACTATATATTTCAGTTGAATGAACTTTATCTACTATGCCTGGCTCATTTATGAGATCAGTTAAATTAAATTGCAAGCTATAGAACACTGGCACAGCTGATGGGAGCAGCCCTCATCGTGCATCAATCGGCCATGGTGTAGCATTGCTTGTGTATGCACGGCCCGGATTTGAAAGAAGAAAACTGCAACAAGGAATATAAAATGTCTAATTTTATTATATAACCTCCCTTTTTCTAATGTCCGATAACATTTTATGAGACCGCTCAATTCTTGGCCAATCCTCCACAGTGTGTGGGAGTCACAGTTGGAGCTGAGGAAGAACAAGTTGTAATGGCTGAAGTAGCTTCAGATCCTGCATCTCTACCAAAGGCTGTGAGATATATTAGAAAATTACTAGGCTTCGCGTCACAACAGCAAGCTGTGCCAGAGGCGGTGCACTAAAACGTATTCTCTGGACAGCCTTGTTTCTTCTTGCGCCTGTCCAAAAGAAGATTACAAAAGTATTTTTATTAGATATATTGAATTTAACACATTTAACTTGACATCTACTGGGCCCATTGATGTTCCCTATACTAGTGAATATTCATTTTAGTGAACTTTCTCTTCAGTGAAATGCCCCGTCGCGGTGATCTAGTAGCTAAGAGGCTCGGCTGCTAACCCGCAGGTCGCGGGATCGAATTCCGGCTGCGGCGGCTGCATTTCTTATGGAAATAGAAATGCTGTAGGCATATGTGCTCATATTTGGATGCACGTTAAAGAACACCAGGTGGTCGAAATTTCCGGAGCCCTCCACTACGGCATCTCTCATAATCACATCGTGGTTTTGGTACGTTGAACCCCACATGTCAAGCAGTTCTATTCAGTGAACAATTTCTATGGGTCCCTCGAAGCTCGCTCAAGTGAGTGTTCTGTGCAGTATGCTCTGGCATTTTATTTTCATTGTTGATCGGAAAGTTGTGTCATTTTTGTTTCAATTTAAGTTAGGAAGACACATTGAATGACATGGAAGTATTTACCAACTGAAATGGTCTGGTGGTCATGGTGCTTGTATGATGGCCCAAATATCGCACTATTGAATTCCGGCCACAGTGGCTGCTGTTTGATGAAGGCAAAATGTTGGTCTGTTTGCTTAGATTTGGGTGCACCTCAGAAGGGCCCTGAAACTCTAATTTCTCGAAATTTTGTCATTGTTTAGGTGATGCCTCCTAGAAAAAAAAAATATGCCTGGGATGTGAGCTGCAAAAGCACTGCATCCTATTTTCTTTTTCCACTCGGTACAGTCGCTAGAGCCTCTTGCGGCAGCTCTTTGCAATCTGTAGCGGCACTGTTGGTGACCCGAGTAGATAACGCTACGCATATTGGCGGTCAGAACACCAGCGTTGTTGGAACAGGGGATTTCATGAAACTAGAGTGCGACGAAATGCATCTTGAATGTGCTAGTGACACAACATGATAAATGAGTCCAAAACAATGCTGCTCAAATAAACAGACGTCGAGAAAAGGAAGCGCATGAAGAAAAAGCTACAATGCCCGTTTTCGGGGAGTTTTTTCCCGTTCTTGATTTCATGCATTCATGGAAAAAGTGGTGCGTTATTGAGCCCTTTGTTCATCTTGCCTTGAAATCCAGTTTTTCTGTATGCCCAAATGCTTGTCGAGCCTCACGAAAAGAGCTGCTGATATTTTCGGAGAGCAGTTTGTGTGACTAGTGACTCGAGGCAACTGCGAGAGATGACCGGGCGTCAACATGTAACCCTGTAGTGTGCAATAGGAGAGTTGTACGTGATGGCATCCGCTTGAAGCGCTAGCGGCGTTTGCCTGTACCGCCATGTCACTGGTCTAGGTGCTCCCAATCTGAAGCAGCGAGCGGCAATGAGAGGTTGTGTGTGTGCCGCTACGTATGGTACCAACATGGTGAAATGCGATGTGTGTGACTTCCGAGGTGTGGCGAAACTTCGCTACGAACATAAGGTTCACCTTTGAGGTGAATATCGACCCGTTCGACTTCAGTATTAATGAAGCTGTGTGTGATGTGAAGTGTTATTTCCGCATCTAGCTCACGAACATTAAGGACCACCTTGTTGGCGGCACAAGCTTTGCAACAACGGACAAGCTTAAAGCCTATAAATCGATGGACACCCGCAACTATGTGACAAGCGGATGGGTCCAACAGCGTAGAGCTGAAGACCTCTGAGACGGCCGCCGTGTCGTCGTCGGAAACGTGACTGGTTCCCCTTGCTTAGTGCTCGTACGAATAATTTTTGTCGCCGTGGTGGTGTCGCTTCAGGAATTCTTTGTGTGGAAGAGTTTCACCGTTTGCTAGAGCATGTGAGGTGATACGATTGGCATAGTTTGTTGGTGGTTGAGCCCAAGCCGCTTGCGATGAAAACTGCTTTTTGCTGCAGGGTCCAACGACGTGCGTCGGGCAGTTGCGCACCCAGAGATCACGTACTGTCTCGATTGATTAGATCCTACGATTGGCGTTAATGTGCTTAGCTGACCATACTCTTAAACAGTCAGCGACGCAATGCGCTCTCGTCAAAGCATGGGTAAATGAGAACGCACTGCGGCTTGCTCGCACTGTGTCGCTGACTGTTTACTAACACACCGAAATCAGTAACCCGCCGCACCTACCTGAATGATGCCGCTGATAAGCAGCGATGGCGGACGTAGTGGGCGCGCTCGTCGCCTGCTGCGCAGTACTTTATAAATGCATGAAAAATCTTTCTTTTTAGTGTCTTAGGTTTTGGAGATGCTGCATAGCACATCTCTAAAACCTAAGATTTTCACCACAAAAGCAAACCTCTATGATGTGGCATAGGTTCTGAACACTTACCGGAAAGGAAATGTTCAACGCACATGCAGTATAGTGTGTGGCTGAGTAATCCAAACCTTTTTGATTGGTTTACAATCACTTTAGATATGGACATCAGACGCATTCTCATGACCAGGCTTGTTACTCGAGTGGTCGTAGCAACCAAATACGGCACAGTTCACCATTATTACCACAGGAATCTCGCATGGACACCCATGAGTGTATGTTGTGCGACTGCTTGCATGCGGCAGTCGGGAGAGAGACCACAAAGATGGATACGCTGCCTCTTCGACGCTATGCGCCATCTCGTGGGCCCCGCCACAGTGCAACCCTCCTATAATGAGCAACTGGCAGGAACACTGCTGCAAAGCTGCTTCAAAGGAAACTTTTGTAGTAAAATGGGCTTCAGCTGTAGCAAAAATTTCTGAAAGGAAATGACTGGCACTCGTTACACTGGTGCTTCTCCAGTGCACGCCACGAACATGCAACCAAATGCATGAACAAAGTAGCCAGCTGTGCTGCTCCACTGACACAACGTTGCGAACACAGTTGTTCTCGCCAGTTCCGGCCGTGCAGTTGCTCCGTGCAGCAACTGCACGGCCGGAACTGGCAATTGTGGCGACGTCCAAGGCATAGTTTTTTCCTAGAAGGTATTGGTTCAGGCTAGGGCATCGTCAAAGCCTTTGCGCCCAAAATTATGCCAAGCACTTTGTAAAGGCAGCTATAGGCAATTATGTCTGACCACCCTTCTCAACTCTGCCTTTCTTCTTTAACTCGTCAAACTATGTACAGCTGTCACTGGAGATGACAGCGATGGCTGTGCGATGTGCTCAACAGAGACAAAGCTCACTGCAGAGTAGTTGAGGTCTGCTCTGCAAGGTGCCGCAGCACTACCAGCTATTGCCGATCTATTTTATTAGATGCCAACAATCTGCAAATGCCTATTATGGAGGCAAAGAAGAAGTATTTGAGACTGATCACTGATAGGTGTAAACTGGGCCAATCTGATTGTGTCTTTAGGGTGAAGTTTCAGCTTTAGATGTGTGGATCCTTGTGTCGCTTGGATAACCAGGGTTCAACACTCGTCAAACCAACGAACTAAAGTGACTCTGCTCGCCAGTTTTCTTACACGCTTAATGCAATGTCACAGCTTTGCCGGTCACCAATTGCTAGGTTTGCAGCATACAATTCAGCTTGGTCAATTTGTGGTGTCCTAGAAAAGAAACCTTGAGATAGTGGCATGCAGATCGCGTCAACATGGATCATGATGTATCGTAGGCAGACAATGCTCACTGTGTTCCACAGTCTCTGTGACATAGGCTGGACATATTCAATCAGATCGGTCACCGGTTCTACTTATAAGGAAACAATGCTGAGCATAATGGAAGCAGGAAGGGGAAAGCTCGTTTGGCTGCACCACTGTGTTTTTTTAGCAATTTGTATGTTCAAAGTCTTGTAAAAGATAGCATGCTTAATCAAGAGAGCTTAAGTTGGTACA